CGGCCCGGGCGGTACCGGGCTCCCGGCAGAGCACGACCCGTGAGCCGCCGCGTCACCGAGCTGCGTGTCCGGGGTCCTCCTGTCCGTGGAACGCTTCTGCTCTGTCTAGGGCTTACAGAGACGGGCATTTCCCATGATCAAAGGGGCTCTTCAGGCTCCTCTCTATGCGTGTTCAATATTTAAACAAAAACAAACACCCAACATTACCTGTGTGGATTTTGTTCATTTGATACCGTGGAACACTAGTTCCAGTACAGAACAGCTTTAACAATTACAGCGAGTCACAGCCCAGCAACCCAGCTGGTTTTACCGTAAACATTTTCTTCCTCCACTCTGTCAGCCCGAAACTAATCTGTAACTACTCTTGCCTTTGGGGGGGAAAAAAAGAATAACCACAACGGACCAAAACCTCTATTGCAACCTTTGTTGCTGTACCTAGTAAAGGTGCCCACCCATCCACCTTGTTCCAAACAGGACCCACACCCTGCAAGCAGCTGCACCAGCAGCATCTCAACAAACCATCTTCCCCAAAACTGGTCCTTTCTTCTGAGGAAGCAGAACGTTATCCAAGTGACAACCTGTGGGGTGCACAGAGGATCGCTGACATTCAAACCTCCAGTCATCTCTCCCAGTCACAAACACTGGGCACTTGTACCCAGCACAGCTCGGGAGAGTTTGTCCCACACGTTACCTGCAGAGATGACTCCTAACCCAGCTGCTGCAACAGCAAATCCTCCGTTACCCTTGCACAGCAGAAACATCTACATTTTGCCCTGGCATGCAGAATTCCTCTTAATCCTCCTTTTTCCAAAACAAAAGACCCTAACTGCAGAGAGATTTCATGCAAGTGAAATCTTTCCAAAATGCTCCAAAGGAGTGATTTCCTTGTGGTGTGAGCCATCAGGGCACAAGGGGTGAAGGAAGCACTCGGGGCTCTGAGGGCACAGAAAGAAGTGAGCCTTTATCCTTGTGCACCGCACGGAATCGCGCACGGGAAGAACCGTTTACATGGGAGAGTAAAAGCACACGACCTGCCGAGTGCAGCACTGCTTCTGTCATAGGAAGGGTGCCCCTCCCTGACCCCTGGATTCCTCCCTCAGTACTGGGCTTACAGGGTTCTATTGCAGGAAATATTGTCCATTAAAAGCTAGCATCCAGTGTCGGGAGAACACTCCGGGGGACACGGATGAGTGGCGGAAGACAGCCTGAAGCAATCGCTGCTCAGTCCACTGCAGGATGTGGCTGTAACACTGACTAGCCAAGAGCATCTTGCTTTTACAGTAACCTGCTCTGAGAATGGCTCTCACCTAAAAGAAGCCTATTTGCCGCGTTCTTCAGTTCAGAGTTTCTCCTTTCCAGCAGCGTCCAAGATCCCTTCATTTACCTGTCCCCATCCTTCTAAACACTATGTTCAAGCACACACCCAGCTGGATCTCTTCTGCTCACTGCGACTGGACATTCTGAACAGGACAGTCTCTGCCTGCACGTCAGTCCATGAGGTGTGACCCATCCATTTGACTCTTAAAAAATAAATGCCATTCCTTCTGAAGTTTTTTACCATGCAAGTACTTCAGGAAGGCAGCTGCAGCTGGCATCAGACTGCAGCTTTTTGAATTACTTCCTCCATGCGCTGGTACCAAGGCTGAATCTTGGTGTGAACCATCATGTCATCAAATGCTTCCAGCCCTTCCATGACCCGGAGGACCCCATACACCGCCTGTGCCAGAGGACAAAGATCAGAACAACACCCAAGTCAGTGGTGGAGAATGGCTTAGGGTACTACTAATAAGTGTCTAAATGGCCTAGCCAGTAAGACTCCTTCCTGTCCTGCCGTTTACTCCATCACTCTGATCAGCAAGGAAAACTGAATGGCAGAAAGGTTGGTAAGAACATGCATGGTCTTCCATAAGGGAACAGTAAGGAAAGATCAGAATCTATGTGCAGTTGTGTGGCCAAAGTTAATCCCATCTCTGCATTGAGCCCTGATGCGAAATGTTTCACAGGCATCCTAACAACTGCTGCTGCAGGGGCTGAATCCTGCTCCACTCTGCACTGCTGCTGGCAAAAGGACACCCCAGCAGCATAGAATGGGATAAAACCTGTACAGGTGTGAGGCTTTATTCACCAGCATTCACAAGTCACTGCTGTGTCCTGGCTTGGAATCTGCTTTTATGGTGCTTCCACATGATCAGTAACAACCATCTGTAGATGGGAACTGTAGCTTCCATATTAAGAAAAATGTATCTGGAGGAAAACAATTAAAACTGCCCTATGTAACACAAGTTTCTAAGTCCTCTTCATGCAGGAATTGTACAGAGGACCTGGACAATGTATCTCATGTAATTCACCCCCTCTGCCTACATTTGTATTAACTATTTCACACAGGTGAGCAAGGGGATGACTTGTAACACCCCTGACAATAAAAGCAGGAACTGGCCCCTTACCAAGTCAGCGAGGTTTGGCTGGTTTCCACCCATGAACAGTCGATGCTTGCCAACAGCTTTCACCCACTCATTAACTGCTTCATACAGGTCTTGTCGGACATCATCTCGAAGGTGATGTCTGGACAAAGAGAAGAACTAGTTTGAAGATACTGGTTTGTTTCTTTCTTTAACCTTTTATCATGTCTCATCTTATGGGCTGATCTTTGCTTGGGAATTAGGAAGGAATCTGTGAATGAAGGGGGCAGTTATTCATTAAATTATAGCATAGCAGAGGGGTTCAGCACCTCCAGTTACAGTACAGTTGTTACACTGGATTAAATGGTTTGGTTTAAAACACTGAGGTTCTGCCCTTTGACACCTGGGGTTCACAGCTAAGGAGGTTAAGGAGCTCTTCCTCTTCTGCACCTGGTGCTCAGTGGTACCAACCTTTTCTTCAGCCTCTTGCTAACGAAGAACATGGCAACAGCCCCCAAATACTTGGCAAATAAGCCTTCCACAGTGCCAAACTTCCCCTCACGGACAATGTAATCAAAAGATGCCAAGGCTTCTCTGGGGGTGCGGTAAACGTTGGGGGAGATGAGGTGAACAAGCCAATCATCTGCCCATTTTCTCCACTTCATCTCTTCCCTGCAAGAATTCAGAAGAAACTTTTCAGCAAACGTGGTACAGATTACAGGGCTAAAGGAGGGAGGCAGAACCACAGCAGAATTAGCCAGATCTTCTGACAAGGGTGAATGTGTCAAAAACTCCTGCCCAGCCTTGTACTCCAGGGGCTGCTCTGAAATGCACTCAGGATCATTACCTTTGGCAAAGCTCCTCCAACCCCAAACTAAAATTAAGATTAAGATAGAGCGCTAGCTTCTCCTCCCCCCAGTACAAGAGCTAAAGTACAAAGGGAAACTAGCACTCCATGGCATTCCTCTGCAACACAGAGGAAAGGGCAAGAAGGAATGGAGGCAACTGAAGGGTAGCGTGGCCACCAGGGTGGTAACTAGGCCATCTAACAGCATGGTTTCAGATTACCTGAGAAACACAGCTAAACCATTCTTAACTACTGAGGTTTTAAACACTAATGGGGGTGTGCCAGGATTTGTCAGCACCAGTGGGATTTTGTATCTGCACCATCCCTCAGTACATGTGGAGGAGGCTGTGACCCTACTTGGAGAGCCCAGAAACTTAAGAGCACTTACACTCTCACTTCTTTGACAGGGTAGACTCGCTTCGTCTCCTTCTCATCCAGCATGAGCCAGTATTTATTCCCATACTCAAACACCTCCTTGCCCTGCTCAGTCACAGTTTTCATAGGAGGATAAAAGGACACGATCTCTTCTAAGCTATTCTTCCTGTGGATAGGAACACAGTTAGCACCTGATCTGCCTGCTACAAAAAATTATCAAGAGCAAAGGACAGGCTGAAAGATAAACAGTTCAAAATGTATTGTTCTAAAAATAAGTGCAAAAGGTTCTAAACTTTCTTTGAAATCAGTTTTCAAAAGAGACTAGAACAGTTACTTGCAAGTAACTATTATTAGTGTCCATACCTTTGTCAGTGTCACAACAAATCTTTTTAGGCATAAAACTTCCTACCACACTTAAGTGGACCTGAGGGACAGGCCACAGGCACAGCAATTTCACCACATTCTAGATGTTATAACTGGCTAAATGCAAGCTTAGTTCCAGGACTAACATTAGTCCACATTTAAGTAGTTTTTGTGCAAAAAGAGTCTCATACATGGAAAAAAGAAAAAAATAGTAGTTCAAAAAGATAAAAGCTTTGCTTTACTGCACATACATCACAACATATACAGGCACCATCCAAACCATCACAGCCAGGGTCAGGTCTGCCAGGCCAAATGCCAAGAGTTTCAGAGACCAAGGTCAGCAAGACACATGGCTGCCATGGAGTCTCCCCAGCCTCTAGATCACCAGGGCCATCCACATTCAACTCTCCTCCTATCACCCCATTTTCTTACTTGGAAATGAGATAGGTCTTTATTGCACTGATGATCACTGAAGAGTCATTCAATTGCTGAAAAACAGATTTAAAACAAACTTTTAAAAGAAGCTGGTGAAATTGAAAAGGAAATTCTTCAAAACCTTCTCTGCCTGCATGCTGAGGCAGCAGGTCAGTGCTGCAGCCCCTTTCCCCCATGCATTTCCACAGGAGCCCCTGCACAGCTCAGGGCAGCCCTCCATCCAGGTCTCATCTGCAAATTTGTCTTCCATTCTGACAGGATCTGATGGTCAGGTACACATGCAGTACCAGTGGGGTTTGGATTTAGGCTCTTGGCAGCAAGAGATAAAAGCAACACTAACATAAAAGAAAAAAAATATTGACTTGTCAGTATTCTTGAGATCTCATTCTTTTCCCACAAGATGTAAGAAGCAGTTCCTGTTGCTGCTGGTACAAATGTGTCCAGTATAAAGGCTGAGAAAAGCTAGATCATCACTGCATTAGAGCTGCTGCACAAACCACAGACCTTGCAAGGGAAAACTACTAATAAAGACAAAGTGCAAGCACAAGAAACCATGAAGCAAGCAAGAAATCTTAGGCTAATGAAAGAATAAAAGATGATCTAAAGATTACACTGCACATGATAAATCACAGACACGTGACAAAGCCTCCAAACCACTGCTTGTGGGGCAATCAAGCTTCCAACACAGAAAGACTTACCAGAGGGCTCCCAGCATTGGCCAGCAGGATAGGCACCTTTCTGTAGGATGAGAATTTGATCTCCTTCCTCATTATCGGGTTCACTTCCACAATTTCATAGGGCAGTCCATGATAATCAAGAAAAGCTCTGACTTTGCTGCAGAAGGGACAGGTTTTATACTGGTAGAGAGTGAGCTGCAAGTTCCCTGCAGGTAGCTGGGGGAAGAAAGAGACCAGAAGCTTCCATTTTCTACTAAAAACATAAACACCTTCCTTCCACCCTTGTTTTTGCCAGGAAGTCACAGTCATTGATATTGAGTTTCAACATCTGACCACCAGAACACCTTGGCTAACAGATGCTTTCTTCAAGTAGCATCACAAATATTCACATTTCACTACCCATTTTCTAAACACGTATTTAATCCGCTGGAAATTCCTACTCAAGGCCAAAAAAAGAAATTAAATCCACACAACTTACCCCTCTAGGTTTAATTTTGAAAACAGAAAAAGAAACAACCATATCACAATCATCTTTAAATCAAAAAAGCCTTTAAAATCCAATCCCACCCCCAAAATAAGCTTTGTTGAGGCAACACGGTTGGAAGACCAGAGTTTGTTGTTGAGTTTAGGCCGCCCAAACTCAAATTCCTGGGATTAACCAACTCGTGCTCAAGAGGGACAGAGGTAAGCCAGGCATGGGATGAGGGATGCTGCCCGGCAGGGCCCGAGCGGCCTCATACGTCCCAGGACAAATCACATCTCGCTTCGCTTCTCCTCCGCAGTTCAGCGGGTTACACAACCCCCCGCGGGCGCTGGGAAACAGCAACAAGCGGCAGCGCTGCCCCGCAGCCCCTACGGCTGCCCCCGCAGAGCGCCGCCCGGCCCTCGGGACGCGGTTTAAGCGGCGCTGAGACCGGAGCAAAAG